CTTCAAAAAACAAAAATTTTCCAGCCGTGTGTCTCTTCCCATCTCACAACCTGCCTACAATCAGAATATCACAGATTCTATATTCATTAAAGGCATTATTAATCACTGTTCGTGGTTCCTGGTTGAGAAAAGAAGCAGTAAAAATTAAAACTCTAAACAGCCATGGGAGGATATTATAGGAGAGCAATTAAGGATGTGTGCTGGTCTGCTAACTGAAAGGCTGGCAGTTCGAACCCACCCAGTGGCTCCAAGAGAGAAAGACCTGGCGATCTGCTTCCACAAAGATTACAGCCAAGAAAGTCTTATGGGGCAGACTCTGTCACATGGGGTCGCTATGGGTCGGAATCTAACCGACGGCATCTAAGGAAGTCTGGAGCCAGCTGGCCTAGGTTCAAATCCCAGCCTTACCAACTGGCAGCTGTGTGACCTAAGGCAGTTTAACCTCTGTACCTCAGTTTCCCTATCTGTAAAACAGGGCTTATAATACCTACCTCCTAGAGTTATAAGGATGAAATTTTAATATTTAATATTTTAAAGTATTTACTATAGTTTGGTATATAGTTAACACTCATAAAAGATAACTTATTGACTAACAATGCCCAAACACAATAGACATATCGATATTAATGGACAGAAACAGGGTGAAAAATATATCACACCCAAAATTGCAGGTACTGCAATGACATACTTAAACAATAATTAACAATCCCATAAAATTGGATGCAAGATCTGCATTAAAGTCTGTGAGGATTTTTAAAGGATATTCATAATTGAAAAGAAGAGCTACTCTCCTGTTGTGGAGTGAATTGTGTCCCTCAAAAATATGTGTTGTAAATCCTAAACCCCTATACCTCTGGATGTAATCCCATTTGGAAATAAGACTTTGTTATGTTAAACCAATCACCTTTCAGGTATAAAAAGAGCAGATGAGGCCCAGAGAAAGAAGCACAAATAGAGGGGAAGACACACACCACATCGAGATCACCAAGGAACTCAGGAACAGAAGCTTAAAGAGACAAGGACCTTCCCCCAGAGCCAACACAGAAAGCCTTCCCCTACAGCCAGGGCCCTGAATTCGGACTTCTAGTCTCCCAAAAGAGCCCTGGTGGCACTAGGCTGCGAACCAAAAGGTCGGTGGTTCAAAACCGCCAGTTACTCCAAAGGAGAAAAAGCCTGACAATTTGCTCCAGTAAAGACTGCGGCCTAGAAAACTCTATGGAGCAATTCTACTGTGTCCTATACAGCCACTATGAGTTAGAATTGACTCAACAGCACACAACAGCCTCATAAATTGTGAGAAAATAATTCTCTGTTTGTTAAAGCCACGTGCTTGTGGTATTTCTGTTACAGCAGCACTAAGAAACTAAGACAGCCCCCAGCTTGGGCCAGCTAATTTACAGGCCTCCTTTAAAAGTACTGGCCCACATTCTAGAGATGTAAACTTCTCCCAGAAGCCATTGTCCACTCTCACTTTGGATCTGGTGGCCACCACTGTGTGTTCTATATGTTGCTAGGAGCAGTGGGAGGTAAGAACATATCACAGAGGGAATTTTCAGGATGTGGAAGGCAACTGTTTACTTTTGTTCTAGAAAGGAAACAGGACTCAGGTCCAGGTACTGAGGATGTGACCTAGTGCAGGTACCAAGTTTAATGATCCTAGTAAATTCTATCTACATTCACAGTCTCTACACAGTGCTGCCATGTCCTCCCCACCTACTCAGGTTGCATCCAGTCCCCCAGTAGCTATGCCTAGTATCTCAGAACTCACTGTTTAACATGAGAAAACCATGAACTGACTCAACATCTGGCAATACAGCAGACTGAACCACTGAACAATAACTTTTTGAGGCATTGCTGGGATCTCATAGGGAAGGGATAGTCTCCAAAGAGTACCCTCCACCCCAAAAATAAGAGTTACCTGGGTGGAGCTGACTGCAGTGGGCAGACTGGGAAGGCTGCCCAGAAGGCAGTTTTGAGATTGAGATACTGAGCCCTGAGCCAGGAACAGAGTTAGAGAGTTAAGCCTAAAGTCCAGCCTCTCTTAAGGGTCCCAGCTTAATAGGGAGGTAGTCCCAAATCAGCAGCACCCTCAGACTCCTGGTGAAATCAAACTCAAATAATCTCTAGAGAAAAGCATCCCTAATTTAGACCTCTAAGAATCCTACAGGTTAAGATCAAGCAATGAGATTACAAAGATCACCATGTTGGAGTCAATATGTTGTTGTTTTGGGGTGCTGTCTAGTCGATTTTCAACTCTTAGTGACCCTACGTGACACAACTGCCCCATAAGGTTTTCTAGGCTATAATCTTTATGGGAGCAGATGGCCAGGTCTTTCTCCCGTGGAGCTGCTCGGTGGGTTCAAATCACCAACCTTTCAGTTAACGGCCAAGCGTTTAACCGCTGCACCACCAGGGCTCTGTGTGAGTCAATGTAGACAGTCCAAATACTAGATTTGTCAAATAAAAATAAGAACAGCCAGGTATGAAATATTTAAATAAATAAATGACAGATCCACAAAAGTCGAATAAGAAACAAGAACTCTCAGGAATGACCAGGCAGATTTGAAAAACAAACAAATGGAACTTCCTGAAATGCAAAATATAATTGCTAAAATCAAGTATTCAATAGCAAATTAGATATAAATGATGGCAAAATTAGTGAACTGGAAGACATATCTGAAGAAATTACTATGTAAGCAAGAATCTAAATTAGTTTCAGAGACTACCAAGGGTTCAAATTCATTCTAAATTAATTATGAAGAAGTCATGATTCAAATCAGACCCTCCACCCCAAAACAAACACAGTATTTTAGATGAGCTTACTGATTTTAGAGCTGGAAAGTACTGTCTCATCTATTATGCCACCGCATCTTCACAAATAACCCTTTTAACAAATGACATGCCGAGAAGGTCATTATGCCAGACATAAGATGTGAAAATTAGCACAAAGACTAGACTACAACCCAAATCATGTAATAGAAACTGAATGAAATTAAACCTAAACATTAATTTAGGTCCTATTTTCATGATCTACTTGCTGGAAATGATTCACAGCAAATCATACCTCCCCATTGTATTTTGGACCACAAGAGTCAGAGATAAAATGGGATGTGGTTCTTAACCCAGAGAGTAGACTGTAAAAGGAGCAAAAGTCATTGCCCCCGTGGATTCTTCTCATATTTAGCAGGCTCTTTCTTTTTTTTTAATTTTTGTATAGTACTTTAGATGAAGGTTTACAGAACAAATAGCTCCTCATTAAACAATTAATACACATACTGTTTTGTGACATTGGTTGCCAATTCCACAACATGTCAACACTCTCCCCTTCTTGACCTTGGGTTCCGTATTACCATCTTTCCTGTCCCCTCCTGCCTTCTCATCCTTGCCCCTGGGTTGGTGTGCCCATTTAGTCTCATTTTGTTTTCTGGGCCTGTCTAATCTTTGGCTGAAGGGTGAACCTCAGGAGTGACTTCTTTACTAAAGCTATAAGCGTGTCCGGGGACCATACTCTCAGGGTTTCTCCAGTCTGTCAGACCAGTAAGTCTGGTCTTTTTGTGCATGGGTTGGGGTAGAATTTTGTTCTTCTTTTCCTCCAGCTCCGTCTTGGACCCTCTATTGTGATCCCGTCAGAGCAGTCCGGGGTGGTAGCCAGGCACCGTCTAGTCGCGCTGGACTCAGTCTGGTTGAGGCTGTACTAATTGTGGTTCATTAGTCCTTTGGACTAATCTTTCCCTTGTGTCTTTGATTTTCTTCATTCTCCCTTGCTCCAGATGGGGTGAGACCAGTGGAGCATCTTAGATGGCTGCTGAGCAGGCTCTTTCATTGCGAAGTTAACCCTATCCTATTTATTATTCAGCTCTGTCATGACAACACTCGTCAAGTACATATTTGATCCCTCTGCTAAATAACTGAAAATATGCAAAATTTTGCCATTCCTATGGCTATCTTGATACTTAATCTAGCATAATTAATCCATGTCATTACTCATTTTCAGTATTCTGAAATATATTTATAAAAATATAAATATATTCTGATATATTTTATAGCTCTGCTCTGAGTTTTAGTCAACTCCTATCATTTTTAAGTAGAAGTTATACTTCATGACTCACTCCTGGTTTACAAACTTTTATTGCCTCAATTTGTGAATTATGGTTTAAATTCTTCACAATTTGTACTTTTATACAGGAGAAAACACATGCTGTATAGTAAGATTTCACCCATCACTAAAAAATGTTTTTCCATACTTGTAAGTAAAATAGAGGTGTCAATACTAAATTTTCAATTCTGTTGAAAATCTATCAACCCACTAAGTGATTTATTTACACACATGTATCACATCGCTGGGTATTCCTTCACTAGTAAATACCAACAAAATGATTTACAAGACGTTAAGGTACTTCTGCTGAGTGTTAAGGTAAATAAGAGAAGCAACCAGAATAACGAGTTTCAAATACTTAGACTTCTTTCCAAACTAAACAAAACATTCTTTAGTAGTGACCACATGGCCCGCCAAGTTTTAAAAAAAGCTGTTTGAACTTGGAAAGCTATATCTACGTTAAAAAGAAAAAAAAGTTCTTCTTGCATTAAAATATTAAGCAGAAAAGAAATATTATTACTAAAAGATGACTCTGATACTGTCATATCCTTTTACACGGGGTGGGCGGGAGCGCTCAGCTTAAAAAATGCAGTATCCACCTAGATGACGTCAATACATATACACTTGAATTGCTTTTCCACATCATCCTTAAGAAACTCTGAGCAACGTTGACGATCAATACATATGCCACAGGATCCAAACAGAACTGGATTCTGTTGTCATCAGTTTATTAAAGGAGTGGCAGCTCTGGAAACCTAGATCAAAATTTAGCCCACCAGGACCCAGCACTGGACCACCCTCCGCTGTCAGCCAAGTCACAGGAGAATGAACTTGAAGGACCCCGGACCCGCGAGCCCATCTGCAGGGCGGGAGCTGCCCAACCCCAGTTTAAGGCGACACTTACGAACTTGGGGCGTTTCTCCCCAGGCTCCTCGGATCCGCCAGGCGGCGGACGGTGCTGGGCGTCCTTCCGGCGCGGCACTTTGCCATCCCTGCAGCCGCGGAGCGAGGCGGAAGAGGGGTAGGGGGCCCCGGCCGAGGAGCCGTGCGCCAAGTGATGCAGGCGCTGCCGGTGCCGCTCCATCCTTCCCCGCAAGCCACAAGCGGAAGCTCAGAGATCAGCTCCAATGATCGCGCGTCTAGCGGCAAATTCGCGGTCCCAGCACCGCCGCCTAAGCCTCCAGACCGGCCGGTCCAACTGCTGCCGGAGGGGGCCGCCGCCTACACATCCGAAAACTCCCGCCACCGTCGGCCCGCCCCCGGCCCGCCAATCCTGCGCCGCCTGGTCAATGACACACCCAGGAACCGCCCCTTCCGGGTCCTCTGAAACGTGATTGCCTGCGCCACTCGTCAATTCCTTCCATCGAGGCTGCTCACCTTAAGTGCGCAGGGTGGGGTTTGGAGAAACGGAGAGAGTGGTGGAGGAAGTTGTTTTTCTGGATTTAGTTGGAGTTTGGAGAACTGGTGTGGAAGTGGAGACCGGCTCTGCGCCGGCATTTGAGCAGCTCTAGAACGTGAAACCATCTACTTCTCATATCTGCAGGCCACTGAGGCACCACAGTGCAATGGTTGCTAGAAAGAGTAGTTCTAGGATCTGCTTTCCGGTGTGCTCGGAGGGACGGAACGACAGCGCCCACGACGCTCCAGAAGCATAAATTCCTGACATATTTACTGAGTGCCAAACTTAGGGCCGCACTGGGGTGAGAGAGGGGTCCACAACAAAAACAGAAAAAGCTAGTTCACAAAACTCCCAGTCTCGTGTGACTCGCAAACCTTTACACAGATGGCAAAATAATGTGACTGTTATAGCAGTTATTTGAAACGTTTATTGAGGACAAAGAGAAGAGAGATTAAATCTGAAAGCATAGATTTGGAAAAGCGAAAGGAAGGATCTTTGGGTTTCATTAGGCCAAAAAGTGGCAGAGCTTTCCAGATAAAGGACATTCCAGACAGGAGTGGGACACGAGGTGTAAAGAGCTTAGAGTTAAAAGAACTTCAAGGGCTGATGGTAAGAGGGCCTTGAACTGAAACCATGCAAAAGAGTTTGGTGTATATACCCCAGGTCAAGCTACCAATTAATGACAACAGAGGCAAGGCTAAGGCAATTTTCTCATGTGTCAGTGTTATTTCTTCGTCCTTTAAAAGTCATCTTTTCCTTTGAGCCTTTTATTTAAATTATCTATCTTCTGACGATATAAAGGTGGTGTGGACCAAGACGCTGGTGGGCATGCAGTACTGATTTTAGTAAAAGATAAACAACGCTAGGTAATCCATTGAGTACTGACACGGGTTCAGAAAATGGGCCTTGGTCCACGTAAATCGCGTTTGACTGTTGTTGGGGTTTTAGGTTTTGTTGTTTTTTTATGGGGGAGGGAGTTATCTGTTTTGTTTTGTTTTGTTGTTTTTGTTTTTGCTGTACCAGACTCTCTTTCCTGGTCTCTCAAGGAGCACCTAATCTTTAGGGAAACTTCCAGGAGAACAGGAAGGTCAGGAGAGCAAGCAGTTCCTTGTGTCTTGATGAATTATACCTAGATGCCAGTGTTATTTCTGCCGTTCACTAATTCTTTGATGTTGCAGAAGATGTTTAACTTTCTTTGACTATCTGTAAAAGGGGAATAATAGTAAAAGTTAGATAGGATTTGACAACCTTATGTACAACAGAACGAAACATTACCTGGTCCTGTGCCATCCTCACAATCTTTGGAATGTGTTGTGGATTGAATTGTGTCCCCCCAAAAAATGTGCTGTAAATCCTAACCTCTATGCCTGTAGTTATAATCCCTTTTGGGAATGGGTTGTCTTTTTTATGTTAATGAGACAATTAGTGTAGGATGTGTCTTCAGTCAGTCTCTTTTGGATATAAGAGGTTAAACAAGCAAGCAGAGATGGGAGAAGAGAGATGCCAACCCACGTGAAGATTGTCAAGGAACAGAAGCTCAGACAAGAGCATGCCTCCAGAGCCAACAGAGAGAGAGAAAGGCTTCCCCTAGAGCCAGCACCCTGAATTTGGATTTCTAGCCTCCTAAACTGTAAGAAAATAAATTTCTGTTTGTTACACAAAGTTACCCACTTGTGATATTTCTGTTATAGTAGCACTATAGGACTAAGCATTTTTGAGTCCATCGTTGTGGCTATTGTGGAAATCCATCTCACCGAGGGTCTCTCTTGCCCTCGCTGGCTCTCTACTTCACCAAACATGATGTCCTCCTCTAAAGATTGATCCCTCCTGATGAAACCTCCGAAGCAAACAAGTTGTACAATGTTCTATTGTGATCCATAAGGTTTCACAGGCTAATTTTTGGAAGTACATCTCCAGGCCTTTCTTCTCATCTGACTCAGTCTAGAAGCTCCACTGAAACCTGTCACCATTGGCGACCCTTCATACCTTGGAAATATTGCCAGTTCGGTTCCAGGCCACCGCAATAAAGTGAATATCGCAATAAAATGAGTCATATGAATTTGTTGGTTTCCCAGTGCATATAAAAGTTACATGTACACTATACTGTTGTCTGTTAAGTGTGCAATAGCATTATGTCTAAAAAAGAATGTGTTGTTAGGTGCTATCGAGTAGGTTCTGACTCATAGCGACCCTATGTACAACAGAATGAAACACTGCCCGCTCCTGTCCCACCCCTACAATCCTGGTTATGCTTGAGCCCATTGTTGCAGCCATTGTGTCAATCCATCTCGTTGCAGGTCTTGCTCTTTTTCCTTGACCTTCCACTTTACCAAGCATGATGTCCTTCTCTAGAGTGTGGTCCCTTCTGATAACATGGCCAAAGTTTGTGGGACAAAGTCTTGCCATCCTTGCTTCTAAGGAGTATTATGGCTGTTCTTCTTCCAAAACAGAATTGTTCATTCTTCTGGCAGTCCATAGTATATTTAATATTCCTCGCCGACACCATAATTCAAAGGCATTGATTCTTCTTCAGTCTTCTTTACTCTTTGTCCAGCCTTCACATGCAGATGAGACAATTGAAAACACCATGGCTTGGGTCAGGTGCACCTTAGTCCTTAAAGTAACATCTTTGCTTTTTAACACATTAAAGAAGTCTTTTGCAACAGATTTGCTCAATGCGATACGTCGTTTGATTTCTTGACCACTGCTTCCATGGGTGTTGACTGTGGATCCAAGTAAAATGAAATCCTTGACAACTTCAGTCTTTTCTCTGTTTATCATGATGTTGCTTATTGGTTCAATTGTGAGCATTTTTGTTTTCTTTATGTTAAGATGTAATCCATACTGAAGGTTGTAGTCTTTGATCTTCATCAATTACTGCTTCAAGTCCTCTTCACTTTCAGCAAGCAAGGTTGTGTCATCTGCATAATGCAGATTGTTAATGAATTTTCCTCCAAACGTGATGCCACTTTCTTCTTCATATAGTCCACCTTCTCTGACTGGTTGTTCAGCATAAAGAGTGAATAGGTATGGTGAAAGGATACAACCCTGATGCACACCTTTCCTGATTTTAAATCACACAGTATCCCCTTGTTCTGTTCGAATGACTGCCTGTTGGTCTATGTACAGGTTCCACATGAGCACAAACAAGTGCTCTGGAATTCCCATTCTTTGTTTTGTTATCCATAATTTTTATGATCCACACAGATGAATGCCTTTGCATAGTCAATAAAACACAGGTAAACATCTTTCTGGTATTCTTTGCTTTCAGTCAATGTCCATCTGACATCAGCAATGATATCCCACGTCCTCTTCTGAATCTGGCTTGAATTTCTGAAAGTTCCCTGTCGATGCACTGCTACAACCGCTTTTGAATTATCTTCAGCAAAATTTTTACTTGCGTGTGATATTAATGATACTGTTCGGTAATTTCCGCATTCGGTATGAATCTAGGAAAATTGGAAATCATCAAAAACGAAATAGAACACATAAACATCAATTATCCTAGGCATTAGTGAGCTGGAATGGACTGATATTGACCATTTTGAATCAGACAATTATACGGTCTACTATGCCAGGGATGACAACTTGAAGAGGAATGGCATTGCATTCATCATTAAAAAGAACATTCCAAGATTTATCCTGAAGTACAACTCTGTCAGTGATGGGATAATATTCATACGCCTACAAGGAAGACCAGTTAATACAACCATTATTCAAATGTGTGCACCAACCACTAATGCCAAAGATGAGGAAATTGAAGATTTTTACCAACTTCTACAGTCTGAAATTGATCAAACATGGGATCAAGATGCATTGATAATTACTCATGATTGGAATGCGAAAATTGAAAACAAAGAAGAAGAAATAGTAGTTGGAAAATACGGCCTTGGTGACAGAAGCAACATTGGAGATCACATAATAGAATTTTACAAGACCAACGACTTCCTCATTGCAAATACCTTTTTTCATCAACATAAACGGCAACTATACTTGTGGACCTCACCAGATGAAGTACATAGGAATTAAATTGACTGTTGTCTTAGTCATCTTGTGCTGCTCTAACAGAAATACCACAAGTGGAAGGTTTTTAATAAAGAGAGGTTTATTCTCTCACAGTCCAGTAGGCTAGAATTCCAAATTCAGGGCGTCAGCTCCAGGGGAAGGCTTTCTCTCTCTGTCGGCTCTGGAGGAAGGTCCCCGTCATCATCAGTCTTCCCCCGGACTAGGAGCATCTCTGTGCAGGAACCTCGGGTCCAAAGAACGTGCTCTGCTTCCGGTGCTTCTTTCTTGGTGGTATGAGGTTCCCCAATTCTCTGCTTGCTTCCCTCTCCTTTTATCTCTTATAAGGTAAAAGGTGGTGCAGGCCACACCCTAGGGAAACTCCCTTCACATTGGATCAGGGATGTGACTTGGGTAAGGGTGGTGTTACAATCCCACCCTAATCCTCTTTAACATAAAACTACAATCACAAAATGGAGGCCAACCACACAATTCTGGGAATCATGGCCCAGCCAAAATGATACACACATTCTTGGGAGGACATAATTCAAACCATGACAAGTACAGCTGTGGAAAGAGTCAATGGAGGACCTCAATATCATCAGTCAGAACAAGGCCAGGGGCTGGCTATGGAAAAACAATGTAAATAAATTAATTAAAAAATACTTTATTATTTAAAAATGCTAACCATCATCTGAGCCTTCAGTGAGTAGTAATCTTTTTACTGGTGGAAGTTCTTGCCTCAATATTAATGGCTGCTGACTGATCGGGATGGTGGTTGCTGAAG